TCGTTCGGTGGCTGAATCCCAACTCAAGATTCAAAGTTGCAAAAACAACAACAAGCACTGGCATTCGAACCAGTAGGTTTGGGCTATTTGGGGTCATTTCACAGTCAGTGGGGGCCTTGCCGAGAGCAAGCAGCAAGTTTGGGTGCACGATCTGATTTTTGTTTCCGCCGCAGGCGCTGTTTGGTCCGCAGAGCCCTCGCCAGCTGTCGCGGCATTTCGGGCCCGTGCTGGCCACGCCGGTTTTCACCTACATTGAGAACAAGCTGGGAGGTTACTTTGATCTAGGATTTGGTTCCTCCAAAAGGATCTAAAAGGGGGAGTGGTAGCCAACTGACTGATCAAAGTGCACTTTCCGGTTTTACAGCCCTTTCAAAGTGCCCTGTGATTCTGAAATCTTTACACCTAGGCTTCCACTCTCATCCCTTTTTATCGCGTTTCCGCAGCCACTGAAAATGGATTCCACCCTGAAAAGAGGCTGATGCGCTTGAGGTCACTTCGGAGAGCGGACGGCCACTGACGAGGAGGCGGAGAAGTCACTGGGGTCGCTGCACGGGGAGTACTGCAAAGCAGCCAGCAGCATCCGGCAGGAGGCCAGGGGTGGTTGCCTGGGAGCGGCTTCAAAGTGGGGCGGGGCTGGCATGACCCACGAGCAGACTTGGAGCCGAGGTTTGAGTTCAGCCTGCACAAGGCAAAGCTTTCATGTCCTGCTTTTGTTTGCCAACACACATATTCCCAGGGATGCAGCCTTTTGAGCTCTATTCTTGTTCTTGGTGCTGCTACTGCCGCCGCGGCCGCTACTGCTGCCGTCATGACTGTTGTTCTTGCGCCGGCCCCTGGCTTTCAGTTGCCATAGCAGGGGAAGCCATCCATTGGAAAGACCCAAAGGAAAGAAACCCGAAGGGATACCTGCTGCTTGGAATGCAAGCACAAAGTGGCAATTAGCTACTGGTAGCTAGAAGCATTGGGTGTGGCAGCGACGCCGCCGGCAAAGCGCTTTGAGCCATCCAAGGTGTTTCAAGAGCTCCCGCCCGGAGTAGTGGTTGAGCTCACTGATGTGCCCGAGCGCGAGGACTGGCCTGAAATTGCGCGGCGGCACCCTTCGACTTGTTGGATCTTTTCGTGTTGAGATTTTAGCAAGGGTGTAAGGAGCCACTCTTGTCAGTTGCTATCTTGGGCGTTTGGGGACATTCCTTCTTTGTTGTTGCATCCCTTTACGGATACCTAGAGGTTCGGCAGCTGCAAAATAATTTTACAAGGTGCCAAAGCGGGCTAAGCATGTCCTCTTGGGGAACTGGTCGAGTATACAAGGCAAACCATGGTGGAAAATCACATTTTCTGTGATATCCAAATTCGGCGGTGAACCGTGCTTGGCTTTCTGCTGCCCAACTGTATCACTTGAAGGGGGTTGGTGGTCTAAACCAAATTTTCACAACGGCTCAGTACGGTTCCTTCAATGTTAGGTCCAAAGACCACCTGCTTTTTGAAGGTTTGGATCCTCTCCGTCTCGAAAACCCACGCAAGGATCTGGACCAACACTTGGCTGTGCTCCTGGACAGCGAAGGCGGCAGCGTTCCTCGCCGAGTGCGGTTGCTACTGGTGGATGAGGTGTTGCAAGTGCCGGTGTCTTGGCTTCGTGTGGGATGTTGGTGCCCTGAGCATCAGGAAGGACCTCCATTGAGGTCTGGCTCTCCATTGGACCTCAAAATGGAAACAGCTTGAAGTCCCAAGATTCTTAGGTGGGAGTTCCATTTGTCCGCAGTCTCGAAAAGTCTTGTCCGGTTCCTTGGCTTTTTGGGGCAGACCTGGTGGGGTCCCCTAAACCAGACACGCCCATACAGCGGACTTGTTCTTATAGCCAGGACTTTGCCCCCCGGCTGTGGATATGGTCGTTGCCTTCTACACTTTGGGCAAAGACGGGGGCGCAGTCACCGCCTCTTTGTGCGACGCAAGCCAAAGTTTAGGGGCTCCTAGCGCGAAATGATCAGAATTTACGTGAACGCAGTACTTGGGCTACTTGGATTGTCCCGCTGAAAACTGCTTAACTTGGTTTACTCGGTGTTCATTCCAAACACAGACAGGGGTTCCCGAAGGATTTGTGAGGCTGTTGACTTGAGCTTGTTGCAAAGAACGGCTTAGCAGAACTGTTCTGCGACCGGCTGGCAACGATGGACATGCATTTATGTCATAGCTCAAATGCATTTGTCTTATTGTGGGGTGGCCAACTATGACATATTCTGTCAATACTTGCCCCATGAGAAATGGGTTGAATACATTCAGACCTTTTGGAGTTGAGGGGGATGACATCTCCCACTAAACGGTTGACTTTTAGCAAGGGAGCAACGAGCCACTAAGTTTAGAGTCAAGATACTGAGACTTATGCATTCAGCTCCGACGTCTTGCCTCGGACTCAGGTATGTTCAATGAAGATGTTTCTTCGCCGCAGCCAATATGTGTCTCTGGCAGAGATGTACGATGAGTACCAGCAGCGGCTACGCAACTGGGCCGAAGATGCTAAAGGCTGGCGACCAGCCCTTAGTTGTTCAATACCAACAGGGTCTGACCTCTTGAAATTTTGGCGTCCCCTGTTTGGCCCATTCTTACTCGAGGTTCCAAGCCCATCCAAAAGGCTAAGCTTTGATTTCGGGGTCCTTCAGGCAAGCAAGAAATAGGCAATATCAACCCTTCGCTAGGGAATATCAATCCTTGAGTACGGAAAGTCAAGTCTTACATAGGGAACGTCTATCAACCCTGAAGCAGAGAATGTCTTTGGGAACATCAATCCTAATGAAGGAAAACAAGCAATGGTAAAAGGTTCCTTTGTTTTGACAACGCATGCGACGTGCGCGGCATGACTCATGCAGCTTCAAGGCCTTGTCCCCTCGGCGCTTGGTGAACCGAGTTTCCCGGTGCGTGGAGAACCGGTGAAGCAGGCGTTAGATGCCACTGGAGGGTTTGGGCGTTGGGCATCACAGGAGTACTGAACTTGAGAACTTGGTGACCGCCACAATGCATCCCAGACGGCGTTGGACAATTCTCCAGTCAGGGGCAGACCTGTTGCGGTGTTTCGGGTGTTGTACGTTTGTCGAACATGCGAGCGATGGAAGCCTAGATTCCATGTGGCCTTTTGGGAGCCAGCGGCAAGAGAGGCGTTTTGTCCAGTAGCTACAAGGGATGTGGGCCCGCTTGGATGGTATTTAAAGGGACGCCAAAACAAAGACATCCATTTTTACATGTCCCAAATGATTGGACGCACCCTTGCATCCATTTGAATTGAGCCTGAAAACTTAAAGGGAGTGATTTCAAGGGGGAACATGTGCTCGCCAAACTTGCCTGGGTCAAAGCTCCGATTCCAGGCGGATCACCCGCATCAGGGAACCCCTCAAGGGAATGTAGAGAACGATTGCTAGGGTGAGGCAACCGTGACCATTGGTTTGACCACACATATGGTTGTTGTTTTCGAGCAGGGGAATTTGGAGGGAAGTCAACAAACTCAAAAATCAAGGAGTATCCCAAGATTCCCAGAACCTCCTCGGATTCTTCTGAAAGCTGCTCCGAACCATCCCGGAGGTTCTTTCTGTTTCTTTTGCGGGGGGGATGCCCCACAACAGTCTGCTTGTTGAGGAAACATAAACGAGACTTGCCAACAGCCCCGCAACCCAGCCTTCTGGGAACTATGTCTTGAGACTTGCACAACCTCATAGCTGTTGGGGAAGAAGCAGGATGCATTCTTGTTTGACCTTTATGTGACCCCCGCGTTTGAAAGGAAGCAATGTGCACCATTGACCAAATGAGCCGACTCGTTTTTATGAACAGCCTAAGCGTGGGCTCAGCGAGGCAACAGCACTATCTGTGGGTCAGGTCTTTTGTCGAGGGTACCGTTTTTTGGGTTTTTAAAGGACACCAAACAGAAACCCACAATTTTGGGGGGTCCCCCAAAAGAAGGACGCACCCAAGTGGACATTTTGAGGATGTGCAAACACATTGTTTTGGGGGGCACTTTGAGTTACTCCCTAAGCTCCTGATCTTTAGTCACTTTTTGAGTTTGGACCATTTCAGTGGTAAACAAAAGGTTTGGACCAGTTTTGGTTTCTCCACTCAGGAACTGAGTTAGACCAGCATGTAAAGGGTAGTGTCGAGGATGTCACTCTACTGAACAGAGTCTCGAAGACCTGGTCTTCGCGTTTTCTTGCCGTGGGGCACTGCCGCACTGCCAATCGGCGTCCCCCCGTTGGTCGGAGTGGGTTTTCGTTGTTAAGCAATGTAAGTCAGGCATGACTGCTGCAACCATGCGGGGCGGTCTCAAAACTTAGCCATCTCGCCTTTTGAGGGGGACAAGAGTAGAAGCATCTTTTTGTTGTCCCCTGGTACTTCTGTGGTTATTTTCTGCCACGGTTGGGCATTTTGTTGTTTTTAGACATCACTCCTGGCGCCTCCGACTCAGGATCTGCCAAGTATTTCGGTCTGCAGCCCAGCCGAGCCGTGGGTAAAAAACCTGCGCTCGAGCAACCGCGGCTCCTTTCGTCAGGACTGCAAGCCAATTTGGTTGGACACTTAAAAACGGGAAGTGCCCTTGTTTAATTTAGTTGGGAGAAACTTGCTGTTGTTTTCTCATGAACTAGCAAAAGGGGGGATTTTTTTGAACTTGTTTTGGGGACCGGTTCTCATTGCAAATTATCCAATCCTAAGGAGTTCCGGACAGGATTTCTTTTGTATGGTTTCTAAGTGCAGGGAAACACTTTGAGCAACCCAAAAAGGACCCCAACTTGAAAGAAACCAAGGGGCTTGCGAGTGGGTGAGGGTGTGAAGGGTTTTAATTGTATCTCCATGAGTTCAGGAACTCACGCCGAGCCTTTTGCACTTCCCAACTGAAATGGCCACCCACCACCCACCTGCCCGCCCGCACCCCTCACCCACACCCACCCACACCCACCAACACTCACCCAATGTGGTGTCTTGGGTGTCAGCATCCCCACGCCGTTGCTCGTGTTGCATCCGCCGAGTTTCGCCGGGAACGCGGAGCTGACTTTGTCTGAGCTGCTGAGTCACCGAGTAGGCCTTCAGGCGGGTCATTGGGGTTGGGAAGGGGGGCGGACCGGGTGTTTGCAACAGTGCTCAGGATCCTTCTCTTAAAAGAACGGGCCATCCAAAGGGAAAGAAGAGTGAAGGGAATTGGGCATCAACCCCTGGAATAGCAGGTGTCTGTGCCTAATTGAGTTACCAGTCCCAAGCCATGTGCTTTTCCAGGACCGGTTTTGGGGACTCCCTTTAAAGCGACGAAGTAGTCCTTTCAGTGGAACCCACTTTTCCCACAAAGGGTTATTTGCAACGAAGGTCCAGCTGGAACAAAGCGGACCTAGGCCCTCCCGCGCGTTTCTGGATGCGGGGATAGGACGCCTTCCCACTGGACTTCAAGCAAAGCTCCCTGGACGACCTCAGCGGAATCGCCCGGACGCCCGGGGAATCCCCGGTTTGTGCGGCCAGACTCGTCCTTGAGAGGCCAATCTGCGCTTGTCCCTCTCGTATGTTCCCTCTTTTGGTCAGAAGTTGTGCTTTCATTGGACACCAGCAAATTGCAACTTGTGGGGGACATGGAAAATCCAGCGATCCCCGCATCCGTATCTTCTTTGAAACCGAATAGGGGAAAACTACAGAGGTCGACCTGTGGAGATCCCACGTGCACTATCCGTCAGGCATCGGATGACATACGATTCACGTAGGATTCCTGTCGTCCCATTCAAGATGTTCCAGTCACTAAGGGACCCCCAAATTGTTGCTCCGCACAAGGGCGGTTTTTAGGTTCCATGTTGGTTTGTGGGAGGGCAAGGGGCTATTGTCCTCGGTCGATTTCGCACTGAGGCCACTCACCTGGAACAGGACATCTTGAAGAGGACAGAGGAGTCCCGTTATGCCTACCTCCTGCAGGCCCGAAATCGTTGGAGTTGGCATGTGTTGACTGGGCTCTCCTCCAAGCACAATGTTGTAGATTTAGGGTCGACTAACTGTGAAACATAGTCTGTCTGATTGCTTGTGTACCCCATGTGGGCCAAGTTGACCCCAGATGAATACACTTTATGGATTCTTTGGGGGTGTGGCCCGAAGTAAAGCAACCGTTTCAACGGACCCTCTCAATCAACCGGGGAGTTTATCATGAGTGTGTGTAGTTCTCATGAAGATCTCTGAAATGAAGAACAGCCAGGGCCTACCAAGCGAAGGGCAACTTCCGGACAGCCTGCCAGGGCAAAGGAGATTCAATTTGTTTCAGTTTACCCCAGAGCTTGATTCTGACTGGGCCATTTTCTGTGCAGGGTGTACCCCAATGAAGAAATGATTGGAATGTCCGGAGAAGGGGGCGTATCTCAGAGTGATTCGACAAACGAGCCTATTTCCTTCATTGAGCCGAAACTAGGAAGTCATGGTGAACATTTCGGGTCCATTTTACAACCTCCTTCTTTATAGGATGTCTAAGCTTTAGGATTTGGTTGAAAAACCCTCTTTTGGATGCTGACACTTCGGATTTACATGGAATCCCAACAACCCAATTTGCGATCAGACGCCCTGAGATCAGCCAATTCGCAATGATCCCAAGCACGCAATTTGCCACACTTTGACCCTCCCCCCCGCCCCCCGCCCGAAGATTCGTGGCGATCGGATTAGGACCCGGGCATGACTCCGTTTGTTCGATTGCAAAGGAGACGTTCGGATCTTCTGAATAAGATCAACCACTTCCCCCCCATGCAAAAGGGCCCATAAGATCAACCCCCCCTTCGGGTGGGGCACATGCCCCCCCCCCCAATGGAGAGGGCCCGAGCGCGGGCGGTTCGATTTTGTTTTTGGGAGGCCTTCGCGGTCGCCAAGCTGGGGAGCTGCGTAGGGGACCAGGACCTCTCCGACCTGGTGCCCGTTTGGAGTCTTCTGGCCCTTCAAGCATGGGAGTTGTCTTTTTTTGGGAGGGTACCCTTCTGTTGTGGCTTTAAAGGGAAAGCCAAAAGCAAGGAAAAACTGGGATCCCCTAAAAAGAAGACACCCAAATGGGGGCGTGACCCTTTTCTGTTGCGTAATGAGCCCTAGTTTGTTGAGGGTCATGGAGACTCCATCTGTTTCCCTTCCAAGTTAGGCAACAACAAAGAGGTGTCCATCTGATCCACATCCCTTCTCTCAACCTTTTATCCCCGACTGGCTAACCTTTTCTTGCTGGCTCTCGGGGAATGAGTTGGAATGAGGTTTTCAGTAGGGAATAAGGAGGGATTTTGGTGACTGCATCATTTGGGGTCACCTCGAAGAGAACCATAAAAGTATTCACAATGATCTAGGATATGTTTTACATCCCGTTTTCCTTGCTGGTCATTCGGAATGAATTGAAATCCCGGAGCGAAAAACCATACTTGTAGTTCCTTGAAGGGGATCGGTTCTCAGGGAATCCGAGAGAAAGCCATCCAACTTGTAATGGGATCTGCGGATGAATAAAGCTCTGACAGATTTTGATCGGTGCCCTGTTTTCGTGGGGATTCAGACTGGAGGGGCCACTCCTCGAAGACCCGGGCGAGAAGTGCCCCCGCGAAACGGAGCCTTCAAATTGGCTTTGGAAGCCCAAAAAGCTCAAGAGCTTGCGTGTCAGCGCTGAAATTCAGGCGACCCCGGATTTTTCTTGTGGCTTGGAAATTTGATTCCAAAGGGGAAACCAAGCTCACTCCAAACCAGGCCCCAAAGGCGTCTTGGTCAATTTTAGTGTCTGTTGTATTGCCGGATTTCGGCGTTTGGAACCATGTTTTCTTGTTTGACCCATTATCAGGGGGAAGTGATGAACCCAAAATGCGGTTGAACATGTTCAGTCGGCGTAGGGTGTTCTTACAACACGGGGTTGTAGCCCAACTAGTCAAGGGGTAAACCCGCAGTAGGGATGCAGTCCTAGCCTATTTTTAGTGGAGAGCCGACCTCTCGATTCTTTGGTTCTAGGTTGACACCTTTCAATTGTTTGTTTTTTTGTTTTTGTTTTTTCTTTGCGTATCTTACTTGCCAGAATTTATGCATGTCTTACTACCCCCATTTAAATGCCGATGGACTTGTTTTGCTACCTGGCCACATGCTAGTCTAAAGATGGAAGCTGCCTTGTTTGCAACAGTTGGTCTTTTCTTTAGACACCAAACACAAAAGAAACACCATGTTTGATCCAGGGATATGTTGTTTCTCGCGGTACGCGCGAGGACAACTTCTTGCACTGGCTGGGCTCGGAGTTGGGGCCCTTGGGCCTCGACGTGGCCCTACCTGCCGGTCGTGGCTCGGATGCGCTCGGGTTCGCTGTGCTTTTCCCAGGGCTTCCAGTTGCTCCCCTGCAAATGAACGGGAGGAACCCAAAAAGGAGGTCCCTCTGAAAAGGACGGTTTTGTTTTTGTTTTTTTGCGGGGGGGTTTCCAGGAGTGTAGCGCTGTAGCAGCCTTGGGAAGTCTAGAAGCTCGGGAAGCCAGTGCATATCAACCCACTTCCTGAGTTAGTACGAGTTTGACCAAAGGCCGAAGAAGAGTTCCCAAGTTGTGTCACATCCAGAAACCCCGGCAGCAAAACAAGAGACCAACACAGTAGCAAGGTCGACTACCCATTCCATTCACCCACAGTTCTCTTCAGCATGTTCCCGGGGTTTGGCCCATGTTTGGCAGACCCTGAAGATGGCCCCTTTTGGTATGACAGGTCAGGGTAATTTTCCATGTGGGTGTCGCTTGAACAAGCTTGTTCCGAGCCCAATGGAAACACACGAGGGTAGAAAGCTCTTGAACTGGGGTTGATGGGCGTGTCTGAACGACACCCATTTTGGGTGGTTTCCCTGTTGGGTTCCCTTGAAACCCGCTATAGGAAGGCAACCCCTCACAACAGAGACCAAAATGGTTGCAGTCGTTGCAACAGAAACCAAACCTAGCGTTTTGATGTTCCCCATTTGGAGAAACCACGTGACCTTGTAGGCTCCCGTTCCACGCCCGTCAAAAGAGAGCAAACAAAGTGTTTGAAACAAAGGTGGAGCAACCCTGTAATATGCAGTGGGTTTTACAGTATCCTTCTTCTTTTCAGAGGGGTTCCCTTGGAAAGTGAGCTGCCCAAACAAGTATCAACGTTGTTTCTCCTTTTTCTTGTCTTCAGAAGCCACTTGGCTTAGGGGAACGGACTCACCCATTAGACAGTATCAAAATGAGGTCCCAATCCTGACTCCCCGACTTCCTGAGCTTTAAACTTTCTGGGAAGGCCGTTTTAGTGGCAAATGACAAGTTGGGACTTGTTTTTTGGCCTATCCACTCGGAAATGCAGAATCATACCCAGCCCCCCCATTCCCCCCCCCCACACCCCCGCAGGGCTGTGCCACACAGCCCTTACAGCGACCTCGACACTACAGCTCATCCACGGCCTCGCCAGGGCGGTCATTGCTACCAGAGCTTCGCGCTCTTATGACCATGCCTGTGACACCTCCATTCAGAAGCCTCTCCAGGACTTCCGATACCCCAGTCTACCCGCACCAATTGCTCCACCTCTTGCTGATACTTGAAGCACATCCCTCATTGCTCATCAAGTCCTCCTTGGGCTTGCACTCCCAAGTACATCAAGCTCTACTTGATCAAGGACTCGCACCTGATCAGTTTGGCAAAGGTGCCAACAAAGGCGAAGGTTGCCCAAAGAAGGTTACATGTGGCAGTTGCCAACACCTCCACAAACCCTTGGACTGGTTCCACTTTCATCAGAAATTCCTCTTCTCGTTCCCTTGGTGGACACCGAAAGTGAAGGGTTTGCTACATATGGGGGGGTCTTGTTGAGGGTATCCTTTTATGGTGTGTTTTAAAGAGAAGCCAACATGAAAGCTACCAAAATGGGCGGTCCCCTACAAAAAGACACCCATATGGAACAGAAGCAACAATATCTTCTTCTGTGTACCCCTTTGTGGGCCAAGAGTAGCCCTGTATGGGCTGAGGAGACCCCCTTTTGGAGGACTTTGAACTTGTGAGTTCGTCTCAAAATCGGGGGTTACCTCCCTTGAACTTAACCCCGAAATCACAAAATTCAGGTTTTCCTGATTGCCCCCCCTTTAAAAACAACCCCAAAAAGGGCACGGGCCCCAGAAAACGAGGGCCGGATGGGCCAACTATTCGCTTCCACGCTCAGGAGGCCGCGAGGCGAGCGTCTGCCGGGGCCTCAATGGGTACCCACCAAACAGAAACCGCAGCAATTTAGATGGTGCACTTAGTAGATGGTTCCAAAATGAAGGTTATGGTTTGTATGTGTTTTGGCGTTGGCCGTCAGCACCCCGCAATTCCGTTCTAAGTATTCAGGACCTGTAGTAGATTGTTCTACTAGCTGTCTTAATTGCGGGTTATAGGGTGCTTGTACGAATTACGAAGAGTTTGGTCAACACATCAACGGGTGGCGGGCGCAGCTCAAATAAGGTTCGGTGAACATCGCCCGTTGTGTGTGTGTGTGTGTGCTTTCTCTTGGTCCAAGGGCAAGCAAGTGTATCAGTGTATGGTATACACCGATCGATAGACTCTTTGCGGGTTGTTGCTTCGAAGTCACTGAGCACGCGGTTTGGAATGTCCTGATGTATCCATTGAGGGCTGGCAAGGGCGGACGAGCTCCAAGGGGTCCCTCGAGCCCGAATTTCCCCAGCGAATTTCGGCTCGGATGAAAGTCACAGCAGGTCTTTGAGCTCAAGGGTGCGGCAGTGACTCCTGTTTTGGGGGAAACCTCTGCAAATGAAGTGCACAAAAAGGAGTATGAAAGGAAACACAGAGGCGATGGGAAAGATTTAATATTGCCGGACCCCATTAAACATCCGCCCAGACGCTCATAGACCCTTCTTGGGAGTGCTAAATAGCTCTTTTTGCAGCCCAAAGCGGCAGTGGGGAGCTTGGGCAGTTATTGGTTCGTTTTAGTTTCTTTCCGAAAGGCAACGAAGAGCTAATGGAAATGTTTAGTTCTTCCCCTACCCACCGCTTCCAGTTTCTATAGTAGGTAACCAGGTATGTTTACTTCTATAGTTTCGCATCGGGTGGCCCAACTGTCAGCGGTGGTTACAGATCCCTCTTTCTGCGCCCCTCAGGTCGGGACTTGCCAGACCTAGCTCGGGTGTCCATGCAGGAGGCAGGTTTTGAACCAGGGATGCGGTGTTTTTTCCCAGTGTTTGAAACTGGGATGCCAGAAAACGAAACCCTTTGGGGTGGTGTAAATATGGATGTGTGCTTGTATATATATATATGGATATATATGGGGTTGTTTTAACGGGACACTAGGAGAGAACCACACATTTCGGGCTAGTTTGCACAAACCCATTTCAGCTGTGGATGCATAAACCAGGTTGAGGGTCGCAAACACAAAACCAACCGCCTTTTGGGGTGGTGGAGTGCTTTAAAATGGAGGACCCCAAACATGGATGATTCCCTTCTCCTTTTAAGCCAACACCGGGTCAGAATTTGGGCCAAGTTTGGCAGGTGCATTCTTTCAGACGCATGCATGCATACGTACATAAGCTTAGCTGGTCTAGATGCTGGCCCAGGACCGCAATCATGGCTGCATGTTCAACTGACCGACAAGGCGCTTTGTGCACCAGATGAGGCAGCGCCAACTCACCAGACAGTGCCAGGGTATGAGTCTTGGGGTTGGTGCCCGCTGTTGGCAATATTACTGGGTTAGTTTTCGGTGGGCCATGTTCTTGCTGTTTTCCAGGTTGGTGGATGGGTGTCGGTTTTGAGTGGCCCACTTGCTCTCTGATTCTGGTGGACACATATTCGCATGCACATTTTGTGTGTGTGTGTTTTTTTCTTAGCAAGCACAAATCTAGCAACCCAACGGTTCTATTGAACAGCTAACCGCGAATCACACGCTAGCTCCAATTCCCCAGTAATTCATGACAAGTTTTGGATTTGTTAAGTATCGCACTACCCCATTCAGATTGATGATCGCCGATATGTTCGCCCACACCCAGTGGGTTGCTTTCTTTTGCTCCTTTTCTTTGAAAGGGGTTCCTTTTTCTCGCTTGTCCAAAGTCGAACAAAGTTGACCTTCTGACTTGTTTGGTTTCCATTTTTAGTCCATATTTAGTCATGGCCCCAAGAAGGTTAGCCTCCTTTGTGCAAGAAGCTTGAAATCAACTACAAAATGGACCAACTCCTGAATCTCCGTGGGGGTCTGAGACCTCTGCACCTTTGTCAGGTGCAGGCGGCGCGGTCCCGGCGCAAGCAGAAGGCGACTTCGACCCGCGACTTCGGCGGTGGGGCCGGGTGGCGAAAGAGCCCGGGTTTCAAGAGGGGTCTCTGCATTTCCCTTTGGTTTCAACAATCACCCAGAATGGCTTGCAGATTAACATGGAGCCCCAAAACCCTCCATGTGTAAACGGATCTTCTTTTCGGGGATCCATTCTTTTCGGGGTGCAGGTGTTTAAGCCCCCCAAACCATCGATTGTAGAGCGCTGCGTTAATGTGCAGGGGAGTAGTACAAGGTGCTAAATAGTTAGAACGGTCCCCCCCATATTTCTCAGGTATCCCTTGGTTGGTGGTTTGGATTGGGACTTTGGGGATTTGAACCCTTGGCTCTTAAAGAGGGAAAATGGGATTCTCCATGAATTTCCTTCTAGTTCGCGTCTTTAAATTGCTTTTCCTAAATCTCGATGTTTTTTCCATGAAGTCGCCTACAACTACTGAAACTCCTAGATTTAGTGAGATTTCGGAATTGGTGCCTTTGCACGTTTTCCCCACCTAGTCCCGCAAAACGCGCGCAAAAAGCTCGCAAACTCCGCAAAACCCCGCAAACACCCGCAAATCAGAAAAGACGTTTTTTGGGGTTTGGGGGTCGCCCAAAACTCCTAGGAGTCACATAGAATGCCCAATATGCCCAAAACTACATATACGGGGGAAATCAAAGCGCAATCTCCAGGAAGTACCTCAAATGGAACCCCAGTAAATGGAGCAAGGGCTAAAGCCTGCGGTCCCTGGTTGAATTTTCCTATTCTAGACTTTTTCTGCCCCACGTCGACGTTTTGGGCCCAAAACCCACGACCCCACGGTCCGCGCGCGCGACGGCAGGTGACGCAGTCGGAGGCCTCCGAGACGGAGGGGGAGAAGAGCCCCGGCGAGGCGGCGAAGCTTCCAGGGAGTTCTGATGGCCCGAATGCCCCACTTATTAACAGGGCGTGGGCCCGAGTGAAAGGTGGGGAGTCATGACTTTTGGAGGGGAACACCCTATCAATAAACGGGGGGGTTGATGAATATGGGGTCAACATTTCTTGGTGGTTCGGAGGTTAGGTGGATTCCCATTTGCCCTCTACGCGAACCAGCAGTTCAAATCCAAATCCAAACCACCAATCAACCAAGGCATACCTGACTAATGTGGGGGGTGAAGCAATTACTAGCAGTTTACTCCTGCAAACCATGGTTGAATGTGGCGTTCAAGCACCCCACACAACCCCATTCTAGCTATTTAGCGCCTTATATTACTTCGGTGTTTGTTGCCAAGTTAGTAAGTTGGTAGCAGCCCTGCAATTTGTGGGCAAGTCAAGTAGCTAACCAGTTTCTACCTTGGCCGAACTTCCAAGCACTTAGCCTCGGATGAATCAAAGGGGAAGCTATCCGTGGCAAGACCTGGTAAGAAACCAGATTCGGGTTACCTACTAAGTGGCTTGTTTGGAAGATTTAGGAAGCACTGGGTTAGCCTCGGATTAGTCAATAAATAGGACAGTACGATTTTTCAGGGGTGGGTCCCTTTTGTCAGAAAAGTATATTTTAAGGGTAGGGTTCTCCGGATGGGATCCCGATTGATGAAGACCTGGTTGATCAATAGGGGACTATCCCTCGGTCTAGTGGGGATTCATCACCTTTGGAGGGGCCCCCACCTGCTATGAACGGAACCGTTTTTGCTCAGATCCTGGGTCAACATCACTTCAAATGCGCACTTGTCTTGGTACATGTTGAAAGGCCTAGATTTGTCCCCTTCCTTGTTCAGTGAGGTTCACATACCCGAAACAAAGAGCATGGCCCCTTCCTCGGCCCCCGAAATTTCAGGGCTGCTCCAAACCTCGAATGAACAAACCAGAAGGGTAGAGCATGTTCTCCTCAGTTCTTTTTATTGAGACCCCTAGTTTCAAGTCCGCAAAGCAAAAGCAAGATGACAAGTTTGCGTTACTCTAAAGTACTCACTATGTTACTAAATGCCACATGCCTTGGCATCCCGAAACTCCTTTGCGCTCGCCCCGAAAAAGGCACACTCCTCGACTCCTCCTAGCCCGCTCGAGGCGAGGGCAAAAGCCCGTATGCGTAAGCTGCTGCAGGCTCGCACGGCCGAGGTTCGGTCAACATATGGTTCGTTATATTCTTCTAAGATAGACCCAAACCACAGGTTTCAGCTCACTTCCCGAGTTCCGTTATCCTTTGGAGTAGAGTGGCAATATTTGTCGAGGGACTCTTGGGCCATCCAATCGATCGGAAGTGAGCTTCCCTTGTGGGACACAAGCCAAGCTTGGGTTGAAGTCAACCTTGTTATGGTCATGTTATGGTCAAACATGGACCCGAGTCCTGATCTATTTTTGGTGCAGTTTGGGTGTGGGACAAGGGGAACGAGCTCGAAATTTCAACCATGCCTTCTTGTGAGAAGATCCATTGAGGTCTCGACAGGAATACTCAGAGCCGTTGGATGATGACTTGTGAGGTGCCAAGCTTCTGCTCCGGACGGGGCTTTGGAGCCCTGTCTTTGGAGTCCCTGTCTTTGAGCATGTTACAGTGGTCCCAGTACGAGGCTCTGTTGAGGACCTGCAAGAATGTTGTTTGATCGGATTTGTGCGGAGTGACCTGTTTTTATCCAACCCGGGGTCTTCTCTGACAAACAAAGCAGGATTTAAGATTGGCCACATGTGAAATAGGTCTGAAGATCTGATGTTCGATGTATCCTGGAGCCCAGTGATGCCCTTGCCCAAAGCAAGTCGACCTTCTGACTTGCTGTTTCTCCTTAGCCTAAAGCCCCAACTCTAAACCCCAAAATGTGTTTTTCCATTTTGGTTCAGTTTTTGTCCAACAGGCAACCCCTAGGTGGTGGTTTGACTTCATAGTTTTGGGATTTGAACCCCTGGTTCTTGTAGAGGGAAATGAGAAACTAGCCCCGTTTCACCTTCAAACCACGAATCCAACTCGACAATTGGAGGGAAGCTGAGCCTAGGCCCCAAAAGAATAACCATTTGCGTTCTGGGCCCCAAGGGGCCAGTGTGAAGCATGGGCAGGCCATCGCCTACGATCCCCTGGTGTGATAGCCTCAGAGGGGAGGCCTGATTGCCTGGGTTACTCCACTCCCCGCGCCCCAGCATTTCATCCGATTTTGACACGCGCACACACCAACAACACGCACATGCAAAGCAAAACAGTGCAACGTTCACTTCCCAAGCGGGATGGAATGTTGGTGGAAGCTTGAGGCTCCCAACAAGCCGGGGCCAGGACACTGCCCACAGCTGCGACAGCTTTGTGTTTTATTGCATTGGCCACGGCCACAATTACTTGCTCCCTAAAGGACATGGGAAGATCGGTGTTGTGGGGAAGCCTACTGAGAACCCCCATGTCTTTCCCCCAAATACCGTGGACAATTGGCATTTCTGACAACCTCCTATATGTACCCAAGCATGATTAGCACTTTGCATGGGACAGGTTTAAGAGTGTTCTGAATGCGTTAGAAATAAGCGCATATAAATGTTGCTTCTTTTGGTTCCAAGGTGTTTCTCGTATCTATGGCTTCATGTTGCCTTTCCTGCCCGCAGAGTCCAATCGACCTATCTCGGGGCCGTTCGGGGAGTGGTGTGGGAAGCTTCCATGTTCAGCCCCGATTCACCCCGTAGGATTGTAGATCACCTGAGGATCCCCTTGTAAAGCCGGTGGCGTTTGGATGTATGCTTCTACCGGAACCCTGATTAATCAGGAGCCCGAAACATCTCTATTCGGGTGTGTCTCTTTGGATGGTACCCTCTGTTGGATTTGTAAATCGGGGGGTGTCCCTTAAAATTACAGACCCATTTATGTGTTATATATCCCGACATGTTCTATTCCCCCAAACTGAGTGGGCTTTCCGCTTGGTTTCCCTTTAAAACAGCTCCAAAAGCTGGGGGTACCCCGGACCCCTAAAAGACGAGCCCATTTGCAGCGGACATCTCCTCGAGGTTCGACCCGCTTCAGGGCAATGCGGGGGCCGGCGGCCTGCCGAGCCCTCGATTTTATTGGGGGGCTTCGGGCCTGTTAACGGCATCTCAACGGCGGCAACCCATACTTAGGAAGCTGAGGGAGTTTAGGGAAGCTGAGGGTTTAGGTTTAGGGAAGGCAACCCTAAACCTAATGTGGAAGCTGAGGGAAGGTTGTGTCTTTCTCTTTCAATCATGCAAGACTACGTTCCTTTAGGTTGGCTATTCGACAAAAGGTGAAGGCCTCCCATTCCTCCAAAGAGGCCTTTCGGCTAGACGGACGTACGCCATGCTTCTCTTTGGAAATCGATGCCTTATGTGAGTTGGCGTCCTTTCAGGGAACCCCCTTTGTTGGTTGATTTTGCAGGTGCTTGTGCTGTTTGAGCATGTTAGTGGAAGCTTCCCCATTCTTTCCAGGGATCCTTCTTTTTAGGAGACCATGTTTAAAACCTGCGGGATACAGCGATCGGTTTTTGAAAATAACGATTCTTTAAGAGAAGGGGAAGTACCCCCTAGAATGTGGTGGTTTGGTTAGGGATGAACCCAACTATGAGTTGCACTGACCCTTATTATACACCATCATTACTGGTTCCCTTTTGCCGGCAACTATGAACCATTTGGAGCGATGCCCTTGTGGCGATTTGTTGACGCAAGGTGCGCTGAGTGGCTTGTGCCTTCAGTTTACGGCGATCAACAGCATTCTCCCGATAGTCGAGCACCGTTTTGTGACCGAGGCTTTATCAATTTGTCACGAGTGAACAAGCATATTTCGGCACGGTCTTCTTTGTATCTTGTTTGAGCGGCTCTCGGTTTGCGCCCCGGCTTCCAACCTCCAAAGAGGTTGAAGTGGTAAGGTGTACTATGCCCGGGTCTTTAAACAGGAGGGGTATTTGAGCGCCCCATTTTGTGCCCCTAAGAGGGGGTCGGACCCCCCATTTGCAGGGTCCGTGAGATTTGGGTACTTCAGTTTTGCTGACGTTCCCGCTCGTTTAAAGGGAACTGGTCAAAAACCAGAGCAGGTGTGCGTTTTTTGAACATAGACAATGTTCAATGAAGGTATCCATATGTTCTCGCTTTCCCTGGTAATCCATGTTGTGTCCTCTCTTCCCATCCCCCCCTTCTTGCTTAGCGCGGTTTGCCCTGCCCGGGACACTAACAGGAACAAGTCACAAGACAAAGCATGGAACCTGAAAGGGACCTCCTCAAAGACCATCTTCCTCGAACAGGCACCCCGTTTTAGGTTTTTGGTTGTAGCCCAAAAACGGGCGGCTTCTTCTGTGGATGGGGGAAATCCAGCACGCAGTTGGTAGGTGGTTTATGCCTCTATTAGCGTTTTGTGCATCCTAATGATGCAGGAATTTGGCCGGCAGCATCTTTTTGGAGGGGCCAACGGGTCAACATATGGCTGATCTTTGGTGTGACCCCAAAGGCCCCATCATCGTGACGTTTTGTTCAAGCAAAGGGGATCAACATGTTTTTTCCATTAAACCTACCCTCAGGAAAACAACCATAGATCGTGCACAGGTGTTCGTTTGCAAAGAACATGACCTCCAGAAGCCCCTGTGCAGGTTCTACGCTTTGTTTTCGGGATGGTGACCCTTTTGCTCAGAGAAACGCAACCGGCCTTGGTTTCGGATTTCTCAAAATAGGAATCGGGCCCTTAAACTGGCAGGGGTTCCGCTTTGTTTTTTGGTGCCATCTTTTTTAAAAGGGAGTCCGCAAGCCACTTTGACACATTCCCATGTGTCAAAATTATCGCCCCCCCAAAGAAAAAAGCAAAAGTAGCTCGCCAAGAAGAGAAACAGTGCGTCGTTGTCGTTTTTGCCAAGCTTCCCCTTGTGCCAAACATCTATTGAGAACTCCCCCCAAAAAAACAACAACAAAAGAGCGAGCAAACAAAGAAGAAAGTAACAACATTGTTCCCCAACCTCCCCCCCTCCTCCGGCAAAACACATATTTAGAAAAGAAGAAGAGAAAACACAACAGAGAGAGAGAGAGAGAGGTTTTCCTTTGGTTTCCACAAACCCAGCCCGCTGAATCGATCCCCCGAGGTTCCGTGGGGGCCTCTCCATGTGCGCCTCTGCCCGTGGCCTCGCGGAGATGTTCGCCTCCCCGGCACGCCCCGGGCGGCGAGCCGCCGGGGGGTTTGGGGCCAACACAGAGATCCCCTTGGCCACTCACAGTCCAGGTCAACCAAAAGGAAGACGCTCTTTTTTTGGAGGTCCACCAGTTTGAAAACCCATGGTCAGATTCTGAGTTGTCCAAATTCGACCTTTTCACCTTTCGGTTTCCCCGTTTTAGTCCATAGGTAGTAATGGCCTCCAAAAGGTTAACCTTCTATTCCAGGTCCTGTGGGCAGGTAAGACCTGGTTTGATGGGTTAATGATACTGTTGACCTCGGATTAATCTGGACCGCACGATTTTTCAGAGGTGGTTCCCCTTTGAGTAGGGAAATCATCTATTTTGGGCTGGGTTCTCTAACTAGAGAGCTGCTTGCTATCATTAATAGCACAAAAACATATATATATATATATATATATATATATACACACATTATATATCGAGATACCATGTACAAATATATATATATATATATACACACATGCGCATACCTCACACGCGTTAGAACCAAAGGTCAATGGGTTTTGGGCACTGATCAGGTTCTCTGAGTTCTCTCCAACATTATGCTCTTAGGGTACAGAGGCCCCTTCCGGTTGAAGGCTGCGATCGGGGACGTATCCTCATGGCGGAACACTTCGAATTCCTGGTAAACAGATCCCAACTGCTCAAATTGGCAGCCTCCCTTTCAAGTTCAGACAAGCCAAAACATACGTCGCTTTGCCAATTGCTTTGTGTTTGTTGGTTTTCTGGGTTTCACTTTAAAGTCGAGGATCCCGTTGTTTTATCCCGTTGTTTTAACCAACAAACGGTACTAGCCAGCGGTTCCGGTCTGCGCGTCTATTGGGATGTCTGAATGGGGCTGTACAGCGGACCTCCAACTTTTTGTTGGGATTCAAAGCGAACTCTGCCAGGGAACTGAACTCGTTGAGTGCCTTTTGAGAAGTAGTAGCTGTTTGGAGGAAAGAAACACCATTTGCAATATTGGGCCATCATGTAGGCAAATGCCAGCGAGCAATATCAATCATGACTTGCATCATTGTTGATACATGGCTGCGCAACGTGACATTTATGGAGCGTGGTGTTCGTTGTGCGGACCGCGATCCTCTGGATGGTTTAAGGCGTTACGTTTTGGCAGTGGCTATCATGAGCATGGCAAGCACTCACATGTTGCTTCCATCATTACACAAACTCGTAAAAGCAATTTGCTTGTGACTTAAGTTCGTTTCAACGTACCCCCCGCCACATTCTAAGTATTCAGGCCCTAGTACCATCCAGGCATACTCCCATGTAGTGTTGTGTTAGGGGGAGCCACACAAAATGGGTATGTATGTTCCTTCGGTTTCCCAAACGGTTGCCAAAAAGGCAGTCTTCCCAGGATAAAATAAGAGACACGCACACACACACACAGCCACACACACACACACATGGGTACCGTACCTGTCAGAATCGGATGACGCAAAACCGGTAGGCTTCGTTTTGATTTCTCGCTAAACCCGCCTGCAGGAGCTTCAATCCGACCTGGAAGATCTGCACGCGCTAACGCTGGAAGGCCGGGACCGGATTCACACGAGCCATGGTTAACGTTACTTGCTTTTGAAGGATGAAGGCCCGGGTCAGCGAGGTTCCAACGGTGCACTGCCACAGCCTCACGCCTTGCAATGATTGGTTCGGACGTATGCCGCGTATGCCTTTTGATAGAACCAGATGAAACCTTCACAATTCGGATAGATACGGCAAGGTTGATCTTGGAATTTGATGAGGTGGGTTTGTGAGCGGTACTAGTATTCTGTGGTACATGTGGGGCGCCCTTGTTGCGACTTGCACGCGTCCTGTTGGCTTTCCAAATTTGCAAACTTACATTGCCCAGAGGCTTCCGATCGTTTGGTTGGCCTTCTGAGGGCTCTCCTTAGGGTCCGGGCGTTTGCGTTGGAGTCAGCGTTTAGGCGCTTCTTGCTATGTGCTATCCTATCCTGCAGCTTTGAGATCTGGACGTTGGAGTCGCAGAACTTGCACGAGAGCACATGGCTTTTTTTGGAAGCATCCTATGGCAAGAGGTGCAACATGTTTGCAGAAAGACCTTCCCCCCAGTTGAGTTGTTCTGTTTCCGATTCATTTCTTGTCGGAAGAAGGTACACCACTAGAAAACCCGGCGGCACCTGGTTTTCCTTTTGTGAAGAGGGAAGCTTTTGGTTTCCCTTTCAATCCACCCAACAGGGAGGTGAAAAGGCAGCCCCATGTGAGCATTCTGGGAGTGAACGAGACGCATCCGAAACGTATGATTTGTGTGTGCCCCTTTTCGGTGGGCCAAGAGTAGACAAACCCACATCGCGCTTTGCGCTGCATCGGTGCTCTTGTCGCCGAATGCCGGGCGTGAAGCGGGCGCGAAGCCCGGAAGGCGGGGAGAGGTTCCGAGTGGAGGGCTTGGGGCGTTTGCTCCGGGTGTACTTGGAGGAAGACAGCCATGCGGCACTTTTAGACAGTCGTTGCGTGAAAAGGGATTTATGGCCTATCCTACTGAAAATATATTACTTTTAGCAAGAGATCAACCAGTACGTTTAAACATCCCACACTGAACCACTTGTGTGAACAGACACCTCGATGTGCGGTCCAGCTCAATTGTGGGGTGCATACCTATAAAGAAGCTGGAATGAAACTGAAACATCCCCATTTGTTGAATTACACCATTGCGCGTACCCTAGTGTACAGCTCAAGGGATGTGTCCAAATTCCCCCCCAAACAGCAACGAACGTCTTTCTTTCAGTTTCCCTTTCGGCTTCCTTCAACAACCAACACACGCACACATCTAAGTTACAGACCTCCGGGTTCTCAAAGAAATCCAGCGGAGGCTGGAAGGACGTGCCCGGCTTTGAAGCCGTGAACTTGCGGGTGGCCAGCGACTGCAAGAAGAAGCTGCCAAAGACCCCGTGGCGCGTCGGTTTGTGGTCGGGAAAACGGGGGAGGGGAGGCCTTTAAGTGCGGAGGGTGCCTTGTTGTCTTGACATGGGTACAAACCTTAGGGTCTGAATGACTAAGCTAAGTAAGACCGCGATCCGCTTGAGTGTGGCTTGGGGTCCTGACAGCAAGCCATGTTGAGGCCCCATCTCTAGTTGGACCCTCCAAAAGGAAAATGGCTGGGAACCACCAGGCTCCCTTCAACCTGCTGATTGGATGTATCCTTCTACTGGAACCCAGCAAGAAACTGCCAAAGACTTCCGCGGCCAGCTGCAAGCGTTGCAGGGGCTTGGTTTGAAAAAGGCTTGCTGGTTCTAGAGAAACAACAACCAGCTCTTGCATCAGTTGGCAGGCGGTTTCTCCCCTGTATTCAGGGTGCGTCATTCATTGGTGCGAGTTTGATGTTGTCCCAGACACTTATGGACCCTTCTGATTCTAGGGAGGGTCCGCCCTCTTTCCTGAAGTAGGCCCTTTTCAAGGAACCCATGGGTTGTGAGCCTTTGGGCAGCAACAAATTCCCAATGGAAGGGCCTGAGGCGCGGCCTGGATTTCAGTTAATTCTTGGCCTCCCTTTCCGGGAGGTCAGTCAGTCGCCTTGGGGTCTTGGTTTCTTTCGGACCGGCATCTCCCCATGGAATCTCGAGATCTGGCGAGAATGCAGGCTTAGCTCCACTTCTGCGAAGATTGCAAGCAAACCAACAACAACGCTGGTAGATTACGGGAAATCACAGGGTGTCCCTGACTATTATGAAACCGTATAAATACCAATAATTGGTAAACCGGGTATACCAGCAACCCCAACTTGTCCACCGCCGCTAAAGAACAATTAGCTATGAAACATGTATGATAAACCACCAATCCCACCTGCCCACTTGCGTTGTGTTTGTTTCCTACCCTCTGCACATGCCGCTTCCTAGGGAATCACCTCAAACTTGGTTGGCGGCCCTCTTTTTTTTCCCTGAATGTTGATGTCTGCCTTTCGGGTCCCTAAACCTCATGCCCTCCTCAAAATGCGATTCGGGCCCGCTTGTGAAAGGGATATGTTAAAGGGAAGTTAAGGAAACCAACGCCACTTTTTGGGACGCCCCATATCTTGGGTGTCCTAATAGGGGGGCACCTCCGAAACGTATTTCAATGTTCCTTTTGGTTGTCCTTTAAAACCACAAGAACAAGAAGAGAGAACTCCTAGAAGGAACTAACTCAAACAAAAAACAGGTGTATGGGTGACCTCCAAAATGGATTGCCGTCTTCCTTTGATTTTCCTATGAAGTTGCAGGAAGAAAGGGGGAATCAACTCCAAAGACGATCCGCCAGCTTGGCAGGACTCAGTCCTGGTGCTTCGTGCCCTTGGTGTTTAGCGCCCTGCAGAAGGTGCCGCCGCACCTCGTGACACCTTCTTCCAGCTCCAGCGAACAGATCCAGAGCTTCGCCGCAAGGAATCGATTTTTTTCCCAGAAAGCTCCGAGGTTTGCCAGACAGGGGTAGGATGTTTTCAGCGCCTATTTCTGGAATTGTTTGTGGTCAGGAGTGCTTTTCGGCATGGTTTGGGTGGTTTGGGGGTCTGCCCGGTGTTTTTGGCTCTGGGGTTTGGGGGGCCAATTTCGAGCAGGGTTTCGAAGATTCGGTTCCAGAGAGTTCCGGGGCTGGGATATCACCTGCCACCTCTTCAAAACTCTTTGAAATGACTTACTTCGAGGTTCATCACTTTTCCGGTTCATCTCAATTCTTGTTGAATCAACTTTCTCACTTCCTGAGTGCATGGACTGTAAACTGTTTGGGAAAACCATTTTGGTGGTAAATAAAAGTTCTGACTTTATTTGGGCAATCTACTTAGGAAGCTTTACACTTTGAGGTTCAACTATGGAGCAAGTTGGGTGGGTTCGGGGGGGGTTTCGCCGGTTCATGTTTGACATTGCCTTACTCCGAGGTTCATTTATATGGCCCGGAATTAAGTACAGTTTGGGTGAGGCCAAACAAGCTGCGGTTGTTCTCCTCCGTGGTGACTTTCTGCTCAATGTCTTCGCGATTTGTGATACCACCGATGCAGTAACATGGTAACCGGCCATGATCTTCTTCTAGTACAAGCAGCTGGCGAACCAACCAGGTTTTTTCATCGTAGTTTGTGGGGGCAACATTTGTTTTGAGTCGCGTGTTTTGGACGGAATCTGGGCGTTTGTTCCCAAGTATCTTACTTCCTCAGTTCCTGAACTTAAAGCCTTTGGGTCGATCATTTTCTGGTTTATTTTGATCCAACCGCAGCTCCATACGGTGCAGCTTTTATTTCCATGCCTCAAAAAACACAGAATCTTTGTCTGAAGGAAGGGCTTTCAATTGAAGCTGCATTTGTGCGGGAAAGCCAGGCAAGGATTTGTTTTTGGAAGAAAGAAAAATGAGGCCAATCAACCACTGCTTTGCTGGGCAGATCAAGGGCAATCCTTGGGATACATAAGGATCATGACTCCTGTGTAGTGGTTTCCCAGTAACCGACGGTCATTCCAATTGTTGTCAAGAGCCTTCCAATGGGGTTCGCCAATCCCAAAAGAGGCTAATAGCGACTATTAAGGCGTGTTGGTGGCTTGTAGGTCAGCTCGGGTGAAACGGGCGCTCACATGTTCATTTTGGGGAACCATGACCATGACAGATGGGAGTTTTGACCATGGCACACCAACACATGAGGTGTGCCGTTTTGAAGGAAACAGCTGCCATTCTTGACGTGTCTCCCTTTGAGACATTCTCACTTCTGGCTACGATCGCGCCGTCTCGCTCAGGGACTCCCAAGAGTTCTGGGAGAGCCTCTTCTCGCACTGGCGCCAGTGGCGGGAAGATCTGCAAGCAGCCATCCACAAGATGGGGGAGGAGTGCCGGGGTTACTTCGGGTGTGTGTTTTGTCCCATTGGTCCCGGAACCTTTGGTGGACATCAGGATTCCGGGAGGGTTCATGGTCCACCAAGCGCTACTTTTTGAGGTGGTTCACAAAATTCCTCTCACAGCCATTTTGTTCTGCGTTCCCGACTGGGTCCATGTTTTGGGGCGCATTTGGAGACCTCTGATGTTTTCGTTTCTCACTGGCACAGAAATGGGTCCATTGGTGGGCAACCCCCGTGTCCTAATGGTATCACCATCACCATCACCATCACCATCATCACCATCATCACCATCATCATCATCATCATCATCATCATCATCATCATCATCATCATCATCATCATCATCATCATCATCATCATCATCATCATCATATTGATCATGACGGTAATGATAGCGATTGTTGTGGTCGTGGTAGCGGCGCTTGCGGTGGTGTTCATGGTGGTCGTCAAGGTGAACAGGCTGTTATGTGAAGGGCAGTCTCAGGTATGATATTTAGAGGTATCCACATTCTATACCACTCAGATACAGGGTACATACTGCGTTACACGCTTATATTGGCTTTGAGCACCCACACCTTCCAAGCCCATAGCTGGACATGCCGATTGTACCTGGAGTCTCCATGACCCTTTTCCATGACCCCATTGTTTTGGGTAATAACCCCATTTTTTAAGGGTCGTGGAGACTCCAGGTAGACCTTTTGGATTCGGCAGGAGAAGTTCATCAGGGAGTTCTTGCCCAAGAGCGTCTCTGCTAAGAGTTGGTCTACCTCCGCCGTCTATGGGAAGCCCAAGGACATGTTCTAGTTGGAAGGTGCCGGTGTCAAATGTGCAGGCTTGCATATCCGGTTTGGCTTGCATGAGACTTTGTTTAGTTGAGACACCCTTTGAAAGATGAACGCTCTTACATTGAACACTGGGCTTACCTTTGTTTGTTGCCTTTTGGCTTGCCTTCAGCTGAGTTTTCACGTTTTAGTGTGGTCCCGAAGCTTGGCGCCATGATGTTTGACCGCTGCCTGCCGCTCCATATGGTTTAGAGGAAAAACAGGGTTCCCCCATTTTGAGACAAGGCGGTATAGGTGTCTAGGGAAGCTGGTGGGTTTCCTACTGGTATATGCTCGAACATCCCAATAGGGATTTGCCGTTTGAGACACACGCTTTTCACAACAGGAGGCCTTTTGAAGAGGAGGGTAGTTTTCCAGCACCCTTCCACTGCACGATTGGAGAAAGGGTAGCTGCATGATGCTGAATGAGTATAGTATAATTTAGTGTCCCTAGTCACAAGGGTTTACAGGAGTTCAGTGGGCTGAACTATACCTGGGTGTGTCTTTTGATGGTAGTTCTGGTTTGGTGCGTTTAAAGGAAGACCAGAAGGAGCACCGAAGTCGTTTTGTGGGTCCCAGAAAATTGGACAGACCCACCTCTCCAAGTTGCCTTCGTTTCCTCAGCTGCCGTAGGGGTCGATTTCACTACTCATCGGGGGTGAGTCGATGCAGGACTTCGGACGTCTGCCCCACCCTCCGGGGCAACCCCAGCTGCAAGCAGTGGCTTTAAAAACTTTTTTGGAAGACCAGCGGTAAACCATTTTTTTCTTTTTGGAAGACCAGTTTAGTGGTAAACGATGTTTGTTCTTCGAATGTTTTGTCTTGTTGTGGCCAACCCGCTCAGGAACTGAGTTGGGTGTGTCTTGTTTTAGGGGGACCCAAATACCAAAATGGATTTCGGGGAACGAGTGACGAGCCTGCCACTTCTGATTAAAACCACCTGCCAACTGGTGCATGATTTTGTTCATCCATGCCACAGCATGTGCAGATTCATGGCGTTGATTCAAAATGCTTTTCAACCGTCGTTCTTTTCAAAGCTTAGCAGTTGTCCCACTCAGAAGCATTTATGGAAAGAACGCGGTAACTCCCTGAAATTTAGCCCAAGGTGAAGTTGCCTCAACCGGCATACTGTCATGTCATGGCGGCAAAACAAATAATAATACTATGCTTTCTGGGAGGGGTACATTGTACATGCGCGGATCGTTCATTTCAGGGGAAACACTCCCCTGTCTCCAGGTCAACATTAGCGCAACAGGTTGTTTTGAGCGCACCGCTGAATGTCTAAGGGACTTCAATCTGCAAATGCTGGCTTTGACCGGATTGCGCGGAAGTGTTTGGTCGACCGTTCTGCGGTCTTCCCCAAACTTACACTTTCAGGTGAACTCCGAATGAAACGGAGTCTGAACATGCGTTTGTTGTGCGCTGGAATTGGCCCCAGGCTTGCCGGCAACAGATGGCAACCAAATTTATCGGTGTGATCAATTCCAACCTAGAGGTATTCTCAGGAGTGGTTTGACAGACCCCATTCAAGAGGGTCTTCAGTTTCCAGTTGTTTGGGGATCACCCCTCCTCATATTGCCCGCCGGTTGATGAATCCGGGATGGAGATGGTTGTCTCGCAGAGTCATATGTTTGTTGTCCAAGCTTCCACACATCAAACAAAACAGCGATGAGGTTCAATGGGACGCGCGACAAGAACATTGCTTTTGGCCATACAGTGCATCGCCCGAAAAGGGTCCAAGCAAAAGAAAGCAGCCGAAGGGCGAAGGTCGGCTTTCGTCAGCATTTCTGGGAGGCACACTCAGCAATTGCATTGAAAAAAATCATCGACACTTGGTGGACAACTTCTGCATGGATTCGAAGGACCCCAATCGAGGGAATATATATCTTGTACTCCTTTCTCAGGGACTTGTGCCGGTGGGTGCTGAGGCGAAACCAAGATCGGATTCTGAGCTTGCTGCCGGCGGATGTCCAGAACCAGATCTTTGCCTCCGTTACTACACTCACCGCATAGCATCCATGACTTGGATGCCGCGCTGGACGCGGAGTGATGCTGCCTCCAAACGGATGAGCCCCTACTCCAAATATCCACTTGTTGTCAGGTGATGATGTCAACCCCGAATTCAATAGCAGGGATCTACCATAGAAACCTGTCTTGCTTGAAATATACCCTGAAAAGTGGGTATTTGGAGTACGTAGGTGGGGACTCTGGATCCTTGAGACGACACCAATGTCGCATGCCTGTGAAGATTGCGATGCTGGGCAGAAAAGCCGGGGCGTGTCACTGTATTTGCATGAGGTATGTCCCTAAAAGCCTCGTTTCGTTGTGGGTAGACTATGCTTCAAACCCCTTCACCGATGGTGTGTCCGATTTTGAGAGAGCTGAATATGTTGTTTGTTCATTGCAGGGGAAGTGAGGAACCGCGACAAAAGAGATGATTTCCCAACTCTGAGATGAGGGGCTCTCGCAAAAAGGGGGACCCCCAACGAAAGGTGATTTTCCTTCTGCTTTCCTTCAGACTCTCCCAAAGAAACGGGCATCTCAAAACAGCAGCATGCAATTACCCTCGGGAAAATGCGGAATCGAGTAGTTGGAAAGTCTTGGGCCGCTTTGTAGGTTCGTGGTCGTTTGGGTTTTGTTTCCACACGGACCCCCCCTCGTTCCCCGCATTTGGACGGTTTTCAAGGGACACCAACAAGAAGCCAACCATTTGGGTGAGATCCCCCTATTTTGAGAAGCACACAATGGGCAAGAAAAATGGCAGACCTCCGAGGAGTAGGTCTGAAGACGCGGGATTTGCTCATAGCACTCAACAAGTTGCCCAAAGCAAATGGACCTCTTGATTTGTTTGGGTTGTATATTGTCACGGGAGTCCACAAGCAGATGGATTGCTCATTTCTTCCACTCTCAAACATAAGGAGGGGCTGCTTCCCTTTCATCTGGCTACAATGAGCAAAGTCAAGTCAGTTCGGGGGTACCGTCCTACACGGAAGCCCCGGCGGTTCCACGTGAATAGGGAGGTGAGTTTGACCATCGGGCATGTCTCCCACATCAGTGATCAGGTTGCGGTTGGTGTTCCTCCAACGCAATTGGTACCAACTACGAACTCCAAAATGTGTTAAGACAAACAAAGTGTTGCAGAGTCAGAAAATGTTTGATTTTCTGCCAACCCCCATTTTTTTGTGTGGGCACTTTCCTGCATGCAAACTTTTTTGGGGCCCAAGCTTTGTTGAGGGAGCCAATCGGCTCAACTCTGAGAATTCGCGTCTGGCAGGGGTGGACAAGAGCGCCTTGGGCTGGCTCCTGGCCGGAGGGGCCACGCACTGGACCGCTGGTGGTTTGCAGGAGCCGGAAGAGCGGAAGAGCGGGGTGGGGCGAAGGAGTCCAATGGTTGGAAAAGGTGGGAAAGGGCGGAGTGGAGTGGGGTGGGGTGGGGTGGGGTGGGGTGGGGTGGGGTGGGGTGGGGTGGGGTGGGGTGGGGTGGGGTGGGATGGTTTGCCACTGTGTGGCACATTGGGCAACTGGAAGATGTGATCAGTTCCCTGCACGAACCCGATTGTATGTCTTTGACTTGACCCGCACTCCAGTTCCATTTTAATTCGGACAAGGCGCCAGCAAAACCTAGCACTCACTGCCTCCTTTTCGGCTGGAAACACTCACTAGTTTCACTACACAGCCGTCCCCCTTACTTGACAAGTGTTGTTTTGAAGTTTACGTAAATCTGAGAGCATGAATCAGAATGTGGGGCAGTGGGGCGCAATCATGCTGGACCCCAATTCAATTTTGGATATTGATGCCCAGTCCTTGACCAGGAAGCATGTGCCGATGACAGAGCAATGAACATCACCTAATTGGGGTGCCATAAACATGATGCTGAATTTGTGCCCGGTTGCAAGCGGACCGCGAGACTATGATAGCCATTCGACAAATTGTGGGAAACCTGGTCAGGTGACAACAACCCGCAAAGAACAACAAGAAACCAATCCCCTGCTTGATCTCCGCCCCAGCCCCTGCCAACAAGACAAACACGAGTAATATGTTTTTTGGGGGTGCCCCTATCGTCAGGGTTTACGGTATAGGTTTTGGAGTTGTTGTAAACATATGCATAATATGTTTTGAAACCTGATCCTGGCCCCCTCAAAAGGAGATTTGAAGTACGAAGAAGTTAAACATATTTGGAATATTACAAATTCACGACCAGGGTGTGTCTTAAAATATCTGTCCCTCCCCCAAAAAGGCGGGCTTCCTTTTGTCTGCCCCTTCGACCCCCGAACAAAAGAGCGGACCCGCCGAGTGGCATCTCGTCCTTCGGTTCGGAGCTCTTGGCCAGGCTTTAGACTTGCGGGGCATCGGTTCCAGAGCCACGGCCTCTGAGAACGTGGGAGTCGCCGTAGGGTTTTGCTCAGGGCTCCATTTTTGTTGAGAACCCCGAAGTGGACGTTCAGCCCAGGGGTAGACATTTCCCCAAAAGGCAAAAGTCTGGGTTTAAGTCTATCTTGGTAGTCAAGACACGGAAGCATGGGTTTGATTTTACTCACTTCCTCAGTTCCGTTTCGGACTTTAGTCGCTTTTTGGGTTTGGTTGTCATGTTAGTGGCGAAGAAAAAGTTCAGATTTGTTTGGCCAGTCCACTTAGGAAGTGAGTTTGTGAGGTTATGTTATTGGGGAACCAGTGACCCAGTGCTCCTGAAAAACCACTACAATGAGTAGGCACATATCCAGGGAGGAATTGAATAAACCCGTGCTATGAATTGGAGGGGTGTTGCCCTCCAAAAGTGATGAATCCCCACTAAAAGGGGACATCAATCATCCACGGGTTTATTACGTAGTTAGTCTATGAATTCGGGGTTGTCATTACAGAATGACCCAGTGAGCACGATAGGCAAGGATTCCAAAGGCTTACCTGCTGTAGACGAAACATCAAGCAGAATCTGGACAAACAACAGCTGTGTACCCCAGACGTGGGCCAAGATCGTGTAGTCTGAAAGGAACCCATTTGTTGGAATCCATCAGGGTCGCCCAACCCAACTTCAGGTTCCCTGTTAAGATCACCATGGCTTTTGCAGTGGCTCATGTTATGTTGGAAATGTCGGGTTCCTCTTCCAGGGCTGGCCTGCTGTTCTTCCCTTTCCAGAGACGGACAAGCGCAGGGATTGTTGAACTGACTTTCTTTGCTTGCCCGGAATGTGCATTTCGGGGTATCAAGTAGCAAGTCACTATCTGATAAACCAGTTGCAGGATATTCCACAGGCAGTGGGCGACGACTCAGGTTTATTCTGCGTTCTTGGCAAATATCCTGAGGATTTTCCAGCAGCATTGCTCGACTCAGTTGCCTAAAGCCGACCTTTTGACCTTTTGGTTTTCCCATCCTGGTCCATGTTTAGTACAGGTGCCAAAAGGTTAACCTCTTATTTCTGAGTCCTTTGGACAACTGAGTCTGTGATAATGAGGTACGCCTCCATTTGCTTGAGGACATACTGTTAGTTTTCCCCAGGCTGAAGCAAATGGAGAGGGTAGCTCTCAATTTCTTCCAATCATAGAGAGAAAGCGAGCATCTTGTCAGCTCGCACCCTGAAAAGCCCCAGCCACGCCGCAACCGTTGCGGCCTTCCAAGCGCCTTCCCGCGGGCCCTCCGCGCGAGCCGCGTGTCTCGTGCGCGAGGCGTTGCGCGGGTACCAGCAGAGCGGACACGGCGCCGGGCCGGCGCGACTTCAGCGCTCCCACCGACAAATGGGACAGGGACAGACCGATCCGATTCCACTGGGTTGCCCTGCCCTCGCTCTTCATGAAAAATTGGCGGGCTCACGATGAAGGCTCCTTCCTTAGAGATGTCTGATTTCCCGATTTGGAAGTATGATAGTTTGCCCAGACATATCCCACCCAATTGGGAACGGGGGGTGAACCCCGGAGATCTCAATGTATACCTCCATTTTGCAGGGAATTGGGAGCCGGTCCCGCTACCCCTGAAGACGGGATTGGACCGTGACCATATCCAATTGACTCGTTCATCAGAGCGGCTCATGCGCTTGAAGCCTGTTTGTTTGCATTGGTGGGTGGGTGTTGCAGGCATGGTTTGAGGGCTGAATAGATGGGAGGCAAATAGAATTGCAAAACCAATCGGGTTGCCGGGGCGGCCGATGTTACAAGATAGGAAGGCACGCAACGCCTTACTCATCTTCCCGATGTCTTTCGTTGGGCATGAACATAGCTGGGCCGGAATTCGACTGGGTTCGGCCCAGCCTTTTGGACCCCAAGGCCTTTGAGAAGGCCTTGCCACGGCTACGCCATCGGCATAATGTTTTTTGTTATTTAATCGACCTCCTTCTGGGTTGGTCTCATACCAAGGTAATCTGTGTTGTTGCCCTTTAAAGCCACCCCCAAAACGAGTAGCATCAAATGACTCCCTGCCTTGGTCCGTGACCAATAGCTAGCTTGGCCACGGAAATGCACCAGTGGCTGCAAGTCCGCGTGTGGGTTGTATCTAGGGCAACTAGTGCCACCAACCACGTGCTTCGGCCATCTATGTACTTGGGGTTGGTAGGGATGGTCAACCCTTTCCCCGGAGCTTTCCTACAGCGTTTCGCCAGTATAGTAGCTTGCTGGGGTTTCTTACCTCTAGGTTTTGCCTGGCTGCCTACAGTGGCTTGCCTGAAAGCACTCGGTTTGGTGGGGATTTCAGACAACCACTGTAAGGGTTGCGATCAACGACTCCATGACCACCAGACCAGTTTTGACCGTGGTCCAAATGAGGCTGCAGGCAATCAAGCTGAGATGGGAATCAACCACTTTGGTAATGCAGAAAGGAGCCGATTTATCTGCAATGTTTATTTCCGTGCTTCTAAGGGAAGGAAATGAGCCCACCAACTCAAGCTCTATCCAACTGACATGGAACCTGACCTTCGGGATCTCCTGGAAGACCAACTTCTCCGGCCGGAACCCTCTTTCAGGGTCCATGTTTCAGCTTCCCACTAATTGGTGATTTGGCTGGGTGAGGCGGCGGTGGTTTCCCATGCCTCTACAAAACCACAAATGGGTGTGGCTCACTTTTTCAGAGCTAGGGTTTCGCAAATGGCAGGTGGTCTGCGGCTTCGGGCCCCAGGTGGCTCACTTCCCGAGCCTGGGGGGTGGCTTGACGGTGGCGGTGCTGGCGCCGACCCCAGCCGAAGTGTTACTGGGGCCAGTGGTTCCAAGGGGCTTCGCCACTGTAACGCTTCAGGATGCTTACCTCTGGGTTTTGCCATTTGTTTCCCCTGGTTGCCCTTCTGTTTTGAACTGAAGGTGCTTGGTGGGGTCAGGATAGTCATGCACCTTATGGGAACCATGGCCCGCAGTTTTGACGGCGGGTTGGGATTAAAAGGCGTGGCCCATCCAATCAAAGGGAAGAGCCCCCTCAGGTTTCTTTTGCAGCTCCAAAGCTAGGTGCGAGTTTGGTCTTGTCTTCTCGGGGTCCCTTGTAATTATGTCCTTTTGCCTTTTGTTTGGAAGGACACCTGGGCAAGGGATGCCAAAGGGTTGAATTGGGCCCGGTCAGCCACGCATTCATTCCAACACTGACTGAGCCTTACGAGTCAACGCCTCTCTCCGAAGTCTGGCTTCAACTTCTCGTCCAGTGAAGCCGGTGCCTTGTTCATTCGGTGCCGCCAGTGATTTGAGCCTTTCACCTTGGCCATAGACAGCTAGCTGTGTGATTTGAAGTTTTACCTGCACCAGCTTCACAAAAGTTTAATGTATACATATACGATGAACGGTTTCTTTTGGTTTCCCTACTACCCGAAAACATGCTGTACAAGCATGAACCACTATGTCGCCAAGTAATTCATATTATATTTTGCCGACATGTTTGGTAACATTTTGTATCCTTTGCCTCAACTGAACTGATGATTGTGGACATACGCACACCTCCTTGGTTTGGGTCATATTACTAAGTCGGAGCGATGTCCAGCTTTTGGACTCGGAGGTCGCGGTTTGGTGGTCAGGCCGGGGGGGCAATGTGAGGGCCTGATTCGCAATGCAGGGGCCAACTTTCCACGCTGCCGATGATGAACTGGGTTAACCCATCCCCCCCCTGCCATTTAGGAGGCTTGACCCATTTACAAGCAATTGGCGGCGGCCAATCATGTTTCTTGTGCCGATTCTTTGTTGGCTGACCGGCAACCCCAGTCTTTCCGAGGTGAACGACGTCATCCACGGGCGCAAAGCCAGTGAGGAGATCATGAAGTCCGTGCTTTGGAACTTCGGGGTCGCCCCTCGACAAAGAAAATCACGTGAGAGCCGCTTGGCACCCTGTCGCAGCGGCGAAGCCATGCGCGGCTTAACATTTGAGGGTACCTCACGACTTTGACACACGCCCATTTGCCAGGGTACCCTACTTGGTGTTTTTTGGAGAAAACAACTGAACAACACTTTATTTGAAGGGAAAGCAACAGGAACACCTATTTGCGGAAACCCCCATGTAGCAAAACTTGGCTCGATATACGCTTCCCGGTTCGTCTGCCTTGAAGCCGCGTTTGCAACATCGGGGTGGTTTTTTGAGGGTACCTTGTTGGATTGGTGAAGGAAGCCCAAAAGAAAAAGAGAAGAAAAACCATCCATGCCTGGGTCCCCCCATTTAAGAACCCATTTTCCCCAACAACCAGCCCGAGGAGGACCTTTGCTGCAATATTTTGTGGGTTCAACATGCTGAGTGATTTGCCCAACCCCGGCTTCGACCGTTGGTGGGGGGTCGGGGGTAAAAGGGTTCCATTTTGATGGGCCAAAAAATGTGTTTGCGGTTGAGCATATTTACATGTTTTTTAACCGGACCCCTCCAAATGATGGTTGTCCTTTTGGTTTTCCTTTAAATCCCCCGAAAAGGGCAACACACAGCCAGACCCATTTGCTATTTTCCCTGGTTTGAAAGCACTGGACAATGATTTGTTTTGTGTCCAGGGGATGTCATCATGTCATCCGCAAAGGCAAATGGAAGAGTCGATTCTACCAGGATGTCCCTTTGAACATCGACCAGCGAGAATCCGAAAACCGGGGGGGGCTTTTGGTTTTCCCGAGAGCCTTGCAGGCAACCATTGTAACCCCGCAATTGGGTGGTTGTCCTTTTGGTTTTCGTTTCTAACCATGATGCATCCAAACAGGGGCACCAGACTCAGAAACAAATCAGGCAATCCATCGTTGGTATTGCATTGGTGGGAACTGGATTTGGATTTGAACCTGGTTCTTTTCGTGGCTTGGGAATCACCCCCGTTTTCACCCCCCCAAGCCACCGGGCTCCAACCCGCCCTTTTTGGGGGAAGCTGATCTTTTTTTTCCCCCCAACTTGTCTCTCGAACTCCTCTCTCGAGCTT